ACGCGAGATAAATTAGGAGTGGGCCAACGCGGTGTGCAAGGAGGCCGCAGAGCGCCTCGACTTGACCTGGCCGCTCGACGCCCCGACGGGCGGAGGCGATGATGAGCGCGCTGACGCAGCGCGCTGCTTGTACAGGGCCCTGTCAGCTCGCAACCGGATAGTGGGTGTCTACGGGGGGCGGAAGTGGAACGAGACGGCAGGCGGGGGCGGTGGTTGGCAGCGCCTGCCGGGCGTCTTCACAACGAAACTGCAGTTCTGCGCAGAGTCGCTTCTCGTTCGGAGCGCGTTCGGGCCTTTAGACTGGCTGTTGAAAAGGGCGTGTGGCCAGGACGCGGACGGTCGCCCCACGCGCGTCGAGGCCTCGAGCCCCCCCGCGGCGCCTCGTTCACTGGGGGCGCACGCCGGCGGAGCGGAACAAGAGCAAGGGCGGCCTAAGGGCCCCAAGGGAGGCAAGCGCAACAAGTGGAAGGGCAAGGCCGGCCGGGGCGGCAAGGGACCCGCAAGGGAAAAGGCAATGCCAAGGGCGAGAAGGGTGCGGACGCGGGAGGTGTGATCCAGAGGGCGCGCGCCCCAGGGCAGCCCAGAGTCCTTGCGCGCCCGCGGCGGCGCCGCTAGCTGCCGCTTCCGCCGCCGCCCCCGCGGCCGCTGGTGCCGTCGCCCCGGCGGCGGCCGCCCCGGCGGCCGCCGCTGCCGCCGCCCCAGGGGCGGCGGGCCGCTAGGCCTCCAAGCGCCACAGAGACATGCGTGATAATTCGGCTACAAGGGCCGCAGACTTAGCTTGAAGGGCCCAGAGCATGGCATGGGAATTTGGCTGAAAGGGCCCAGGCTCTCTGGCGAGTGCACAGGATGGATGCGAGCATGGTCGACCTGTCGTGGACCTGTCAGCCTTGTACGTCAGCGGGGGTCGGGGTGCGTTGCTGCGACTCCTCTCCCGTCGCCAGCGTTTTGCTCGGACTCGGCTCGTTTTTGCTCCCTGTCAAAAATGTGTCTGGGCATTTTTCCCCACATGCTTAGTGGGGTTATGGTTTTCTTCCCTCCCGCGTCGCACCCGCGTTTCCTCCTCACCCCTCCTCCTTTTCCTTCTCGCACAACACAGCGCAGCGCAGCACAGCACAGAACAGCACAGCTCAGCACAGCACAGCACAGCACAGTTCTGTTTTTTCCCCACATGTTTTGTGGGTTTGTTTCTGGTTCCCCACATGTTTGGTGGGGTTCTGAGCACAGTTCTGTTTTTCCCCCACATGTTTTGCGGGTTTCTGTTTCCCACATGCTTGGCGGGGTTCTGGTTTTCTTCCCCACATGCTTCGTGGGGTTTTGGTTTTCTTCCCACCCGCGCCGCACCCGCGTCTCACCTACACCCGCCCTCCTCCCCTCCTCCACCCTCCTCCTCCTCCTCCTCTCCTCCTCCTCTCCTCCTCCTCCTCCTCCTCCTCCTCCTCCTCTCCTCCTCCTCCTCCTCCTCCTCCTCCTCCTCCTCCTCTTCACGCACACAGCACAGCACAGCACAGCACACCATCGGGGGTGCGCAGAGGGTGGTTCTTCAACGCGGCCCCAATCCGTGACACGCTCGCAGTTCGTGGAAGGAGGGGCACTTTGTCGACACCACAGGGGGTGCGCAGAGGGTGGTCCCTCAGCGCGGCCTCTATCTGTGACACGCTTGCAGATCGTGGCAGGAGCGGCACTTTCTCGACACCACAAGGGGTGCGCAGAGGGTGGTCCCTCAGCGCGGCCTCTATCCGTGACACGTTCGCAGATCGTGGCAGGAATGGCACTTTCTCGACACCACGGGGGGTGCGCAGAGGGTGGTCCCTCAGCGCGGCCGCTATCCGTGACACGCTCGCAGATCGCGGCAGGAGCGGCACTTTCTCGACACCACAAGGGGTTGCGCAGAGGGTGGTCCTTCAGCGCTGCCTCTATCCGTGACACGCTCGCAGATCGTCGAAGGAGGGGCACGTTGTCAACACCACAGGGGGTGCGCAGAGGGTGGTCCCTCAGCGCGGCCTCTATCCGTGACGCGATCGCAGATCGTGGCAGGAGTGGCACTTTCTCGACACCAGAGGGGTTGCGCAGAGGGTGGTCCCTCAGCGCGGCCTCTATCCGTGACACGCTCGCAGATCGTGGCAGGTATGGCGCTTCCTCGACACCACAGGGGGTGCGCAGAGGGTGGTCTCTCAGCGCGGTCTCTATCCGTGACACGCTTGCAGATCGTGGCAGGAGTGGCACTTTCTCGACACCACAGGGGGTACGCAGAGGGTGGTCCCTCAGCGCGGCCTCTATCTGTGACACGCTCGCAGATCGTGGCAGGAGTGGCACTTTCTCGACACCACGGGGGTTGCGCAGAGGGTGGTCCCCCAGCGCGGCCGCTATCCGTGACACGCTCGCAGATCGTGGCTGGAGTGGCACTTTCTCAACACCACAGGGGGTGCGCAGAGGGTGGTCCCTCAGCGCTGCCTCTATCCGTGACACGCTCGCAGATCGTGGCAGGAGCGGCACTTTCTCGACACCACAAGGGGTTGCGCAGAGGGTGGTCCCTCAGCGCTGCCTCTATCCGTGACACGCTCGCAGATCGTCGAAGGAGGGGCACGTTGTCAACACCACAGGGGGTGCGCAGAGAGTGGTCCCTCAGCGCGGCCTCTATCCGCGACACGCTCGCAGATCGTGGCAGGAGTGGCACTTCGTCGACACCACAAGGGGTGCGCAGAGGGTGGTCCCTCAGCGCGGCATCTATCCGTGACACGCTCGCAGATCGTGGCTGGAGTGGCACTTTCTCGACACCACAGGGGGTGCGCAGAGGGTGGTCCCTCATCGCGGCCTCCATCCGTGACGCGCTCGCAGATCGTGGCAGGAGTGGCACTTTGTCGACACCACAGGGGGTGCGCAGAGGGTGGTCCCCCAGCGCGGCCGCTATGCACGACGGTCGTCCAGGGCATAGCAGGCGTGGCACTTTCTCGACGCTATAAGGGGGTGCGCAGGGGGTGGTCCCTCACCGCGGCCGCTATGCACGACGGGCGTCCAGGGCATAGCAGGCGTGGCATTTTCTCGACACCATAGAGGGTGCGCACGGGGTGGTCCCTCACCGCGGCCGCTATGCACGACGGTCGTCCAGGGCAAAGCAGCCGTGGCACTCTCTCGGCACCATAGAGGGTGCGCAGGGGGTGGTCCCTCACCGCGGCCGCTGGCTGGTTCGAATCTGTCCTCGATGGAGGATAGAGGGCTTGGAAGAGGGAGGAGGTTCAAGCAATATGGCGTTGGATGACACATAGGGGAACATTCGCGACGAAGGCTCAGAACGCAGAATTGCGCATACATTATAAACTTCAGCAAGCACATAATATTTAAATTAAGTATGTGGGGTTCCTCTGTAGCGTAATTCTGGGTGGAAGTGTTGGGTTGCTTATGGTGTTTGGGCTGCATCGATGGTGGTTTTGTTCCTCCTCCCCCCTTCCTCCCCTTCCCCCCCTTTCATCGCCTTCTACTTGATCCCAGTAGGAGCCCAGTTTCATCCTGAATGCCCGGCCGTTTTTCGCGGCGAGCGCGCCGGGAGCGGAGGCGGAGGAAAAGAATGAGGAGGAGGACGAGGACGAGGAAAAGGACGAGGATGAGAAAAAGGAGGAAGTGGAGGACGATGGGGAGAAGAAGAAAAAGGAGGAGGTCGAAGAGGAGGAGGAGGAGGGAAGAGGGAGTGGAGGAAGATGGGGAATAGGAGTGCATGGAGACGGCGAGGATGGGAAGGGGAAGGGGGGGGGAGAGCGCGAGGACGAGAATAATGGCCAGTGGCCATTAGGAGGAAGAGGAGGACGAATAGGGGATGATGAGCATCAGGAGGCGTAGGATGAGGACATCGTGCGTTGGGGCAGTGCGGAGCACGAGGAGGAGGAGAGGAGGAGGAGGAGCAGGAGGAGGAGTGTCAGAAGGAGCATAATGAAGACATCGTGCGCTGGGGCAGCGGCTTGAGACGGTGAGGCGAAGGAGGAGGAGGAGGAGGAGGAGGAGCATCAGGAGCAACAGGAGCATCAGGAGCATCAGGAGCATCAGGAGGAGTATGACGAGGGCATCGTGCGTTGGGGCAGCGGCTTGAGACGGTGTGGAGTGTGTTCGCGATGCGTTTCTCAGCGAGCCGGGTGGGCCAGACAACCACACTAATGCAGATGATCCTCGTTGTCGTCGTCGTCCCCCTCCTCATCAGCAGCCCCTCCCTCAGAAATTGTTCATGGTTTTGCCCGTGGGTGTCCGTAGCACTCCCAGGCCCCGGGTCACAGTGGAAGTCTGGATCAGAGTCAAGGCTCGTTTCGACCTCGTATCTAGATCCGTTTCAGATCTCTGACAGGGGTCATACGAGCGGCATTCCACGATCGCGAGATCAGGTGATCGCGGATCGATTGATCCCTGTTGGACAAAACGCAACCCGCTGACACAGCAACAATTCACGTGTCACGGGCCCTCCGTCTTTTTCTCTTTCTTGTTGCTGGTGTTGCCTGGCAGTGTGTTGCGTAGAGACATAGCGTTTCACGCAGTTTCTGTGTAGATTGGCACACGGAGTTTGTTCGCCTCTGCTTTGACTCACTTTTCGACACCGTCTTCTCACAGCTCCCCCCCGCTGCCGTTGCGATGACACCACAATCGCGCGCACAATGTCAGGATGACGGCCGCGGCAAGCCGACACGAAGAGAGGGAAAGGGGAAGGGAAGGAAGAGGGCGAAGGGGGAGAGCAACGCAGGTGGGCGGCAGGGAGCGGGAAGGTCCTCCTCCTCCCCACTCCTCCTCACTTCTCCTCCTCTTCCCCACTCCTCCTCCTCCTTCTCCTCCTCACTCCTCCTCCTCCTCCTCCTCCTCCTCCTCCTTCTCCTCCTCCTCCGCCTCCTCCTCCGCCTCCTCCTCCTCCTCCTCCTCCTCCTCCTCCACGTCGTCCTCCTCCCAGAGTGCTGGGGCGGCGCGGGCGTGGGCGGGGCGGGGTGCAGCAAGGGGGCTGTTCTTCGAGCCCACCCTCGGCGCCCCTCGAGGCCAGCCCGCAGCGCCGCGGGGCGCCGCAGCGCGGGCCTGCGGGCTTCTCCTCGGCGGAGGCGTCGCTCCGCGCGACTTTCAGAAGCGGGGGGAGGCGAAGGGGGAGCGAGGAGAAGGAGGAGGACCTCAGTGGGCCCTGGAAACCACAGGGCCGTTTTTTTACCGGCTCCGTTTGGCCGTTTTTTTGCCGGTTCCGACGCCGTTTTTTCACCGGTTCCGTCGCCGTTTTTTGACAGGTTCCGGCTCCGGCTCCAATCCTGGAGCCGTTTTTTTGCCGTTTCCCGTCGCCGTTGTTTGGCCGTTTCCATTTTCAAGGGGCATTTTTTTTGGGAAACGGTGAACAAAAACGGCCCTGCCGTTTCCGGGGCCCACAAAGAGGAGGACCAGAGTCAACCCAGGACGCCTCGGCGATGTTGCAAGAAACCCTCCCTCCAAGCTCCCTCTTCACGGGCCCCTGCAAGGGCTCCATTTCACGGAGGGAAGTGCCCTGCTGGCAGATATCCGTCTGACAATCCGGAACTGTGCCAAAACGCCATTCATGGGATTCCAACGCCGCGAATCACCGTTATCATTGCGTTTTGGCGATTTGGAATCGCGCCAGGACGCCATTCCTGGGACTTCAACACTGCGAACCACCGTGGCTGTTGCGCCCTGACGTTCCGACATCCTGCCAAAGCACCACATCTGGGATGTTAGCCATGAGAATCCTCGAGACCGCTGCAAACTCTTCATACGAATGTGCGCGACGCTAAGGCGAGAGCGACACCGCCCTCAACCCGTGAAACTCCTGCAGCATTTTAAGGAGAATGTGCGCGGCGTTGAGGCGAGAGCCACATGTTGTTGGAAACGGCCCGCCCTCCACGCGTGAAACTCTTGCAACAGTTCATAACGAATTTGGAATATGCGCGGCGCTGAGGCGATGGCCACATTCTTCCAACCGCCCGCCATCCAGCCGTTGAGCTCCTGCAATGTTTTACGACGACGGTGTGCGGCGCTAAGGCCAGAGCCACATTTTGAAAGCGACCCACCATCCGTGAAGGTGCTACAACTGCTAAGCTTCAGGATCATAAGCGGTGAGGATGTCTCAGGCGAAACGCCCGGCCCTCCCTTTCGACCTGCCTCTGGGTGCGATAGGTTGGAGCCGTTTACAAGGAAAGGGAATGGAATCTCAGGATGAAGAGGAGGAGCAGGAGGAGGAGGAGAAGGATGGGGAGGAGGGAGAGCGCAGGAGGAGGAGGAGGAGGACAAGGAGGATGGAGGAGGACGCGGAGGAGGACGCGGAGGAGGGGGAGCAGGAGGAGGAGGAGGAGAAGGCAGAGTGAGAAGAAGGACGAGTGAGAAGAAAAATGAGAATAAGTAGGAGGAGGAAGACGAGGAGGAGGAGGAGGGGTGGTGAAGAAAAGGAGGAGGACGGGAGGAGGAGGAGGAGGAGGAGGAGGAGGAGGAGGAGGAGCAGCAGGAGATGGAAGAGGTGTGCGGAGTATGGAAGGAGAGGGGAAGGAGGGGGAGGCGGAGGGGGAGCGGGAGTTGGACGGGGAGGGGGAGGAGGCATTTTCCGCACATTCCAATTATATTGCCTGTTTGAAAGTATGATGCCAAAGCGCTGGTGGAGAGGTCAGAGGATGTAAAGGGGGAGAAGGAGGAGAAGGAGGAGGAGGAGGAGGAGGAGGGGGAGGAGGAGGAGGAGGAGGACGGGGAAGGAGGGCCATTGGAGAGGGGGACCGAGTGGAGTGAGGAAGATGGGCATAACTGGTGAGCACAGAGGAGCAGGAGCCAGAGGCGGAGGAGTGAGAAGGAAGATTGAGGAGTGGGAGGATGAGTAAGGAGACGGGAGAAAGGAAGGAAGGAGGAGGAGGAAGGGGAGGAGGGGAACGCTCCAGATACCCCTTCCACATCCAAGAGCATATTTTATAGTACCAGCCAGAATTTTACCTTTTCCAGGGTCCCGGCACGCGCCGCCGACGGGGTGTAGAGCCGCACCAACGTGCCATCTGCCTCTTCGAGTTTCACGAGGAGGGTGCCTCGAGGGCACCGCGCCGCTCGCTAGCGTTGCGGAGGAGGGCGGCTGCGACAGGTTCGAGCCGCAGTGACGCGGCGGCAACCCCGGCGCGGGCGATACAGGTTGAGCGCCATTAGTGGCCCAGAATCGACCGACGTCCAACGCTCGGCGCTATTCTCAAAGCCGCGATCGTTCAAGGCTGAACGATCCACGCGGTGCCAGAAACCAACGCCAAAGTCGTCACGACACGAGCCTGCTGTGTGCAGGTCCACCTCGTGCTTCCCTCTTCCACCCACCCCAGGAAGGGGTGTAAGCAAACAGAGGAGGTGGACCTGCACAATTCTTCGAGGCCTGGTGCCCAAAATCCGTCCTCGCGTTTTGCCCTCGAGGCTAGTCCCATGGTCCCGGAGCGCCTCGCGGAGAGACACAGCCCTCCCCCTCGCGCAGGGGGGATTCAGGCAAGAGGTGGCAAGCCAGAGGCTGGCCTGAATAATGGTAGGGTGCTCAAGTGGGTAGCTAGCTCAGGGGCGTCACGGCATCCCCACGAGAGACCACCTTGGAGCTCAGTTCAGGCGTGCGCTGGAGGGCAAACACGCCTCTCTCCAGAAGGGAACCATTGTGTCTTTGACGAGTTGGTTCCTGTTTCACAGTTGGCCTTGGCAAGCAAGAGGCACGGCATCGAAGAGTCGCAGCGAAACGTACGTTACTCGCGAGCTCAGGCTGGATGCATGCAAAAGACAAGCCGACAGCTAAGGTAACGATGTGCTGTAGATTGGCCAGTGCAATCGATTTTGCAATCGATCACTGGGTTATGTCGTTTCAGTGTGCCATGGTCTGCTATTCGGTCATTTGTGGTCGCCTTGTTCTCTGTTGTTCGCTCAGGAGTACTAGACTTGCTGGTGTGACGAAGTTTTGGCACAGTGGCGATTCATGCGATGTTCTTGGTGGTAGTTGGTTTGTGTGTAAGCGCTGCGTCGGCGCGTGGCCTTGCTACTTTGTGCTCGTAAGGCGTTCAGCTGGGATGGTCTTGGTGTTGCCCGACTTGTCTGAAGATGTAGTCTGCTCTGTGTGGCTCGAATGGGTGCTCCGCGTTAAATTAATGTCGGGAAATTGCTCTGCACATGAGCTTGATTCATTCGTCGATGAGAAGGTCATCCTTCTCGTCGTCTTACCCCGCCTCACCTTCTCCCTGCCTCAGTATCCTTGTGTGCTCCCCTCCTCTCCCTCAGTCCAATTCCTCCTCTTCGTTCCTCGTCGCCCCTCCCCAGTCCCCATCATCGTGTCCGTCCACTTCTTCGACGTCGTGGTTATGTCCGTCTGCTGCTTATCCCTCCGCTCACCGACCTACTCCGCCTGCTGCTGCTCCTCCTCCTCGTCCTCGCACACCGGCGGCGGACCCAGAACTCTCCGCTGAGGCCGACCAGCGCGCTCGCGGTGGCCGCGCGCATGCGTACGCACGCAATCCACGACCCGACACGGGCCACGCGCGAGCGAGCAAAACAGGCACACTTTTTTACCTGCGCGAGAAGGTCGCCCCGTGGCTAAGGAGGAGAGAGGAGAGCAGCAAGGGGGGGGAGAGCAAGAGGAGAAGCAAAAGCAGCAGCAGCAGTGCAAAAGAGGCGCGGCCGGCGGCCGACGCCTGGCGCCCCGGCTTTGCGGGGCGCTCGTCCCGGTCCAGCGGCTCCCTCCCTGGAAGGAGCCCAGGGCCGCGGCCCCCGCCAGCAGCGCCGCGGGGCCCAGGGCGGCCGGGTCGCGCGCCGCCGCCGACACACACGAGGGATGAGGGGGCAAAGGGCGAGCCTGGTATCCCGCGAAGGGAGCCGGGGTGGTCGGGGTGGGTGGTGCGCCATTGGGGGCTGCCCCAGGAGCGCCTGCCACCGCTGCCCAGCTCATGGTTGGGTGGCCCCCCTCGGGATTCGCCAGAAGAAGGTAAGCGAAACCGATGAGCGGTGGCAGCAGACCAGGGCGCCAGGAAGGCGGTGACGAAGGTCGGGGGCCTGTTGAGGCATGCTTTGACCAGCTCAAAGGGCAGCCTGTACGGAGCCCAGGGACCTCGATTGCGTCTTCATTTTTTGTCCTCTGGTTTGCTGTCGTGAGGTCGTGAGCGTCATCGGCCCGTCTTACGCTGCCGAATCGGGCCGTGGTTCGCTTTCACCTCGGCGTCCGCCTCGTGTCCGTAGACGTCGTCGCCGTCGGAGTCCTCCTCGTAGGAGTGGTCCTCGGGTTCCTCGCAGGTCGCGTTGCTGTCCTCATCGTCCTCGTCGTCCGTGGCTCTGCTCCGCACTCGCCGCAGATCTCGGCATTGCATCCTCTGCAGAACCACCTGCACGTGGCTTGAGACCCCTCGCCATGGCACAGCTCGTTGGAAAGGCAGTCCCATCCCGTGCGTGCACTTGCCATCCGAATACTTCCTCTCCGACACATATCAGTAGCATGGGGTACACGGCATACTGGGCTTCTTTGGCTCCGCCATCTCACTCTCTGGATCTTCCTTGCCGTCGTTGGGGTGTCTTTGCTCCATGTTGCCGGACTCCACCTCGGTGCAGGGCGGCTGCTCAAGCCGCGTTCCCGTTGGAAGTTGTCTTCTCTGTGTTGGACTGCCGCTCGGACACGGCTGCCCGACCACGTTCGCTTTCCCTGGATCCTCCTTCGCATCCGCTGGATCCTCCTTCTCGTCCTCTTAGCCTCGACACCGGTTGCCGATGGTGGTTACAATTTGCCTGCGACACTTGTGTGTGTGGCACAGATTGGAGGGACAATTTATCGCGCATGCGACGGCTTCTGTATGAACATCTCCGGCACCACGGTGTAAGGGCCCCGGCCCGCCCGCGCCGACCCTCAAGGGTCCCGCTCCGGCGGACTTGCGCGCTTCCCTTCGCTTCGCTTCGCTTCGCTTCTCGTCCTCTTAGTCCTCCTTCTCGTCCTCAGGGTCGTTCTTCTCGGTATCTGGGCCGTCCTTTGGGCTTCTGGTTCTCTACGTACCCCTGCTCGTCGCTGTTGTGCTTCGCTTTCTCGGTGGAGACCACGTCTTTGACCACACACTAGGTGTAGGCTAGGTTG